GGCCGGCGGCCGGGCGCGGGGGCACCGCGGGGCGGCCGGGCGGGGGACGCGAGCCCGGGGCGGCCCCTGCGGGAGAGTTCCGGCGGGCGCGCGGGCCGCCCTGCCGCGGCGAAGTTTGCGGGCCGGCCGGGTGCTAACTTTGAGCGCTCACGGCTTCCCCTGCCCTCCCGCCCCCGCCAGCCCGGGACCCCGCTGCGGCCCGGGCCCCGCGAGACGGTCGTCGGAGGGAGGCAGTCCGCCGGGGCCGGCCGTTGGTGGCTGCGGGGAGGCCGGGTCCCGCGGGAGGGGGGGCGGGGCGGGGGCGCCCGGGCTCCTGGGGACGAGGTGAGGGCGGGGATGCTCGCCCACCCCGCCGAGTGCGGAGCCGGGGCGGAGCGGGCGCGGCGGGAGGTCGTGGCTGCGCGCGCGGTGACGGCCGGCAGGAGGCGACGCTCGGACCCCGGCTCGGCGCCGGGGTGTCTCCCGGCGGGCTGTTTGGAGCGGGCGGTTTCCATGGAAGGTGTGATCAGCCGGGAGTGCCAGACGACCCGGGCGTCACGAGGTGAAGGGTGGCGCGGTTGGGTTGCCTGCTGCGGGCAACCGGAGGAAACGTCCTTCCAGTCTTTATTTTTCTGTTATGCAAACTAATTGAGGAACTGGTGGCTTCCGCGCTCCACTCCTCTGTTTCCTAGTTCTGTTTCCGAGTTTGTCGGGGGGCAGTAAGAGGAAAAAGTTCTGTGAGCGCGTGCGAGTGTGTGTGTGTGTGTGTGTGTGTATGCGCGCCCCCTTTCTAGTGCGTGCATGGGTGTGTGTGTGTGTGTGTGTGTGTGTGTGTGTGTGTGTGCGCGCACGTATTAAATAAAATAGTGTTTTGCCTGGATTGGTGTGATAGGAGCGAGTAGTGTGCGTGCGTCGGGGAAGGCACAGGCCGGTTTGATACGGAGAGGGAATACCACAATCTCTGCCAATTGAGCCTTGAGGCAGGAGCACCGAATGATGAATAATAACGCCTGGCTTGGCCGCTTTCCAGTTTTTATGTCTCATGTCAGATCCCTCCTTCGTGAAGCTTTCCCTAACAATGCCAGCTCATACTGAACTCTTTTTTTTTTTAAATATTTCTTTTGTACTTAGACTAACACTTTGTTCCATGCCTTGTATTTTTCTGAGTTTTGATTATTAAGCACTTTTTATACATACTTATACATGACTTCTAGACCTTTATATTTGTTTTTTAAAGCACCAAGTTTGTTTTATCGGTTTTTAGTTTTGACCTTCAACCAAGAACAAAGCACCTAATGAGTGCCTTTTCACTAGTACAGCCACAAAATATTCATGGACATCCTCAGTGGTGCACTGTGCTGAACCACTAAGATACACACTTGATTAAATCATAGGTTCTTGCATCAAAGAGCTCTTTCAGTGTATTGGACAAGAAAAAAAAAACCATTAATTGCTCATCACTGTCCCTTCTCATCTGGCACAGTCTCAGTAAATACCTGGAAATCTCACTTGTTTTTAAAGATCTAGTTCTTGCAAGAAAACAATTTCTTAGCTTCTTTTAATAATCCATTCAGATTTTGAAATTTGGTGTTTTATACTTGTATTTTTGTTTGTAATATACTTTCAGTTGATTTTTTTAAAACTGAACATGTAGGAGCCGGTGGTTCAGTGGCTGCTCTTGCAGAGGACCTGATTCCCAGCACCCACATGGCATCTTAAAACTGTCTGTAACTCCACATCCAGGGAATCTGACACCCTTACACAAATATACATACAGGCAAAACCACTAATACATATAAAATAAAAATAAGTTTTTTTTTTAATTGAAAGGCTTTTAAAAAAATGGTCATGTGTAACTTTTTAAAGACCTTTTGTATAAGTGTGTTGTGTTTGGTTTATAAGGTGGAGTGCAATGATTATTGAAGTAAAGCATGTTTGGATATTTCATTCAGTTATGATAATTTTTTTTTAACTTTTAAAAGTAGGTCTTTAACATTTGAGAGTTAAATACTGGAACTTTCAGAATATAAAAATGCTAGCAGGCTCCTGGCTTTCTCTTATATTACAATTCAGTTGAAAGCTCCTATGTCTGTCCTTACACACAGCAGTTCTTTTGCTTTTTGTTTGTCCTTTTGATGTACTTCCCTCCCCCAAAACTTAAGTTTTTGCAGACTCATGAGACAAAGCATACATAAACAACTGTGAAGGGAACCACAAAGCTAAGTGGAGGCGTGGTTTCAGACAGTTATTTTTACCTTATAGTAAAAATTCATACCCCTGTAAAATCACAG